AAAATCAGAATATTTTTCCCAAAATGAGCAGAATGTGAAGCCTGTAGGCTCTCCTTCTTACTTTTGAACCAGTTTGAAATACTTACATGTATGATTTGCATACTTTTGTGGCTAGACCCTGGGTCTAAGAGGATCAAGGATTTTACATTCAACATGATTAATTTAATTCAAAACAATAAGAGACACATAATCATGTGAGAATGTACTAGCATCTTTGGCACAGCCCAACTCTGAATGCTCACTCAAGAGTTCATCATGTTTGCACAACATTCACCTTGGGAACAAACATAGTGGCTGTAGTGTGGAGAAGTGACATTCAGTACTGTACATTTTACTACATAATAATTACCATGTCATACTATGTTTTGTGATAATTTGGATGCCCTTTACTAGGACAATTTTATTACTATCAGATGTTAAGCCCAATTTTTCAAATCTGACAGTTTTAACCAAAACAGAATAATATTAGCTTAGTAATAAATAATTGAGAATAACGATGATTCATGAGAATATTAGCATGTACCAAAGTTCCTGAAAGTCAGTAGCGACCTGTATAACAACAGCAAAAGTATAATGTCCACCTAATTTTTTTCTACAAGTTGAACATGTTCATTAAAAAATTATGTTACTGTAAATGTTGTGAATATTTGTAGTCTTACATTGCATGAGACCTTGAAAGAACTTTTTTAGTGAAGCAATGATAGCATGTACATCTGCTTAATCTCCATCATTATCGATTAATGCAAATTGCATTGTGAACTATTAAATTATTGCTATGTACATGAAACTTTTTTAATTTTTGTACTTTTTTGCATTAACTGTAAATGGGTATATAATTAGTTCAAAAAGTTACTAATAATGTTCTTTCAACTTTTGTGGTATTTTTTATCAGCCTATTCTCTTGTGCATTTTTACTGAGTATGTAAACATATTTAGTGCTTAGAACACTTTGTGTGTTTGAAAACTTGTAAAATTTTATCACTGTTATAATTTGTGACATAAAAAACATACCTCTTAGTTTTAATGAGAATTATAACATTATTAAGAAAACAATAGTTATTGTAATGAATAAATACATTTTTTTGAAAAATTTAATTTAAGGTGCAGTCATACAACTCTAGGGACTTTAAGCAGTGCAGACAACATGAACGGTGACATCGTAAAAGTCCGCAGGGTAAACCCAAACCACCAAATGCGCATGTCTGGCAGGAAAAACACCTGCCGTTACTGTCATGTTGCAACATGAGAATTGGTATTTTGCTGTTGTGACAAAATGTGAGTACTAAACTTTAATTTTCCTTCGCATTTTTGCAAACATTTTGTAAATTTAGCATCAAATAGCATCTAGGGAAAGTAAGAGTACTTTTGAGTATTTTGGGGGATGAAAATATAGAGATTAAACCGCCTGGGAGAAAAAAATTCTGCACGACTGAACCACGTTATCTGCCCAGTCTTTTTCCCGGTATTGGAGTTGCTGTTGTCGTTGTTTAAAGTCCCTACAATCATAAATAATCAGTTATTTCAGAGGTACTTTTGGTGAAGCAAGTTTTCTTGCCAGTATTAAATGGAAGAGAAAGTCGGCAACAGATGTTGGTAGATATGACAATAATTGGAGACCACGTGCATCTATACCAACTATGCAACGGTCAAGTGGAGGATCTGATGTCAGCACATCTACCATAGCATTAACAACTTGGCTGATATTTGAAGAACGATATATATTCTTCACAATGTCAATCCCTACACAGGAAAAAGTAAAAAGAAGATGTGTAAATTTACGCTCACTTGAATACAATGTCAAAAAAATTCAAAAACTGAAGTGCAAAGAACCTACTTGAGCTCTGCATAAGATGAGGGACTTAATACAGTCCCTGGGAATTTTCCCAATGATTTGCCGACCTTATAATGTCAGTCAAAGAGGTGTGGTGGAGTAAGGCCCTTGATCTAATATCAAAATCTCCCTTCTATTCACAATCATATGCACAGCAAATTGGAAGTTCGAATTACATGTGCAGACACTTAGGGTTCTATTCCAGGCACCCTCTCATTAATGTAATGACAATTACGTAACTAAGATAGGTAAAGCATGTCTTGAGCTAAGGAAGTTCAAGCATGTTATAGGAACAGCTAATTTTAATTCAGTAGCACGAATTACTTAAGAGGACTATCACTCCCTGTGGAGAGGATGCATTATAGTCCAACACAGGGTTGGTCAGTATAAGATTCTGGGAAACCACCCACCTACCCCTCCCCCAACCCAATTTTAACACTAATCTCTCCCATAAGGCAAAATGTTGCAACAGGGGAAGGGCAGGTAAGCAGTTTCCAAGAATCTGCTGGGTGTATCCTCAGCGTATATCATCTACAATCTTGGACAATCCTTTTTATTCTGTCCAAGATTGTAAGTGAGAGACAGTAACCAGTTCATACAAATTTTAACAATAATATATACCTTACTGCCTGATTTACCTAGTACTTTACCCTTTATAGACGCAAACATTCTTTCAAGGCTTGCTCATGGAATCCTCCCGATTTTGTATGATAGCCATCAGAGCATAACAAAAGAGCTATCCAATAAACAAGGGCTAGAGAAACAGTCTATCAGGCTAGCATGCTTTGATAATAAGTAATTAACATACAACAGGCAAGCAACATTTCCTGAGACTAAGTAGGGGATTGGCTGGGCTAGAAAAAACTTCAACAACAGCTTCCATAATAAGCAAGCACTTTTTTACAATTTTCACCCCGGCCATCAACATCTGTCCAAAGAGCTATCTTCTGCATAAGAGGCTGGTTGATCATCAAACTCACCTGTACTTAGGTATTCTTCCCCATACTGATCTTTAACCACATCACTCAGTTGGTTCCATCCTTTTTTCAGCTGTTGCTCAAACATATCAGGAGCGCAGATATTAGTTGTATGGGATCCAGGTTCTAGCATGCTAACTTTTATTCCCCAGGGATACATTTCACGTCTCAGGGCATCAGAAAAAGCCTCCACTCCATATTTGGTCACAGAGTAAGATCCATAAAAACCAGGGGAAATCAGTCCTGCAATGATAAGGGGATAAGAGATTGAAACATTCCATGTCACTTCTTCTACTTCATCAGAAACCTTCTTCTCCAAAGTATACCCAGAGTATACTCAGAGTATACCCATAGTATACCCACAGTATACCCATAGAATACCCAGAGTATAATAGGAACATACCCATAGTATACCCCGAGTATACCCAGAGAAAACACTCATTCCACATTTCGAATAGATCCAGATCCAAATGACTGTGTCAAGTCCAAAATACATTGAAGTTCAAGTAGGTCCAAATGAATTCACTACCATATCATAGGCACGAGTTAGGTTTTCTAAAACCAAAATATAAGCCAATAATTATATAAGAATGAGTTCAGTATTCAAAAGTTTGAAAGTAAACGCCCAAAATACAAGAAAACTTACGGACTGTTGTAAGTTCCAAGATGACAAACTTACAGGGAATCAGGTTTCAAAAACACATGGCTACATTGCAGGCACGGAATACATGCGCAGCGGTACTAATACATAGTATAACCAGGGTATATCCACAGTATATCCAGAGTATACCCAGGATATACCTAGAATATTACCAAGAGAATACCAATAGCATACCCCGAGTATACCCATGGTATACTCCAAGTATACCCTGAGTATAGTATACTCATAGTATACATACAAAGTAATCCCCAAGTATACCCAGAAAATACCTAAAGTAAACCCGGGGTATACCCAAAGTAGACCCCGTGTATACCCAAAATATACCCATAGCCAAAGAATACTCTTAGTATACCCAAAGCCAAAGGAACAGATTGATTAGGAATCCTAAACTCTAGATTTAGAATTGACTGATAAAATGCAGAATCAACTTAGAGGGTTTTTTTTATAAACCTTTTTTGGATTTAGCTTTTAGAAACAGTTCCCACAAGGCTTTTATTTTTCTTTGTTTTAAAGTCATGTCATACATTAATGTACCCCCAGACAGAAAAAAAGAAAAAGAAGTGGAACCCCAGCTATATAATTCAACTAGCAAGGAAACTTTAACCTGCCGCGCTTGAAAGATTCACTACTCTTCCTTTGGATTTCTTGATCAGTGGCAGAAAGGCTTTCGTGACATCAATCATCCCCCATAAATTAACATCTGCACTTCGTTTGAAGACATCAAGAGGTGTCCATTCAATTGGGGATAAATATAAAATTCCTGCATTATTTACCAGCCCCCAAATTCCAGCTGAAACCAAAATGAAACGTCATTATTTACATGTGGTTGCGCTGATCAATTAATTAACAGTTAATGAATGAGGCTGAGTATCTTATGAAGAATTATGGAGATCGAGGAGGGTATTATCCGCCTCGGCCTACAGCCTCGACAGATAACACCCTCCTCAGGTTGTTCAAACACTGGTTAGCACTATCCGGCACTGGATAACTCACTCTCCAGCAGATAAGTATTAGCAAGTCAGAAGAAGTAGATTTGTTATTTGCCAAATCTAAAAAGAGGAAACATTACATACTAGTCTATGCTAGTACACTGGCCAAAAGCTCAATTTGTGACAGAAAATTTTCATATTTTTATATATCCTACAGAAAAAGAACATGGCTAAACTCTTTGCTTTTTACCACCATCCCAAAAAATTCTGAGAAAAATGATGTCCATACTTGGATCATCTTGATTGCACCTATTATGTGATTTCAATATGTTACTGACCATTTCGTAACACAATTTTCAGTTTACTGTAGGCCACCATATATATAATACAGTCGAGGCTCTCCTTGCAACTGCTCTTGACAGCGACCAGCTCTAGTAACGACCACCTCGGTGAAACCTCGTTTGAGCTGCAACTTAAACTTTGTTATGAAAAGCTCTCATAAGTGACTGCTCCCATAAGTGACCGAGACCAGTTATGGGATTACCCAATTGGACTCAAATATTCCTTTGTTCTTAAGCTCTCATAAGCAACCACTCAGTATTTCTTTTGTTTTCTTAATGAATTATTAATGAGTTTCTGAAACTCTCGTAAGCCATCACCCTCTGTTGTTTTACCATGCAGTCGATTAGGAGAGCTCATTCTCTTTTAAAGCAACCAGCTCTAGTTAAAACCACTTTTTCCAATTTCCTAGGTGGTTGCGTACAAGAGCTTCAACTGTACTCTTAATTTTCAATTTGAGAATATTATGGTATTTTTTGTAGTGGCCTATTTAAGGAAATACCATTAACTTTGTATTTATGTCTTTAAGTAAATGACCCGTCAATTTAACTCCAGACCGCCCCCCCCCCTTTCCAGCCCCAAGTGTTCTAGGCCCGTAGCAGGGGGAGGTGCAGGGGGGGCTCGAGCGCCCCCAGAAATTTTCAGACTTGAATTAAATGCTGCTACAGAAGTGGAATTTTTCTACTAAAATGGACAGCTGTCAATGGAAGCTTAAGTTTCAAAGTATTGTCGATCATAGTAAGATTATGTACTGTTGTTCTTCTGTGCAATTTGGAATTGTGTAAATGAACGAAATCGTATTTTTGCTCTGCCAAAAACAACCAACAGCTTTAAAATATCTGCTTATTAAGCATCAAAATGGTCAGAAGCAAAATGGATCGAAATGCACCAAAGACAATCCCTGAACTTGACCTCATGAACTTTATTGGTTCCCTTAGAGGTCTGCCAGTGTAAAATATACTACTGTACTAGAGCAAAACTTAAGTTTTTGCGCGTTAATATTGAAAGTCTTACAACGTCTTCGCAAGAGCCGCCAAAAAAGAAATCCAAACAAGTCGAAAATGAGCAGGGAACACTTTTATCGTGGGTAAAACCATGCACTAGTGACACAGAGACTGGTGTAGTCGAAGAAACAATCCGAATCAAAGAACAACCCGGAAGGTATTGTAGACAAATGTAGTGATCTGACATGTACCAAGAAGTATGCGTTAATCGAAGGACCGAAGCGGGGGAGTTAATGTGGGCCACTCGCTCAGCCCCCCAGTCATTTTATGCTGTTCAAAAATTCCAACGAACACATAGAGTCTGAGCGGCTTGTGGATCCACAACAAGCAACTTGCTTTTGTTACACCATGTGACGATACTCAAAGGAGTATTTCCTTTCAAAAATTGTCGCAGGGACAAATCTTCCAGGAAAGATTTATATGTGATCTACAAAGCAGGGGCAGAGAGCATAACCTAGTGACCTACCACAGGCAACTTCTTTCTTAACTTCTTCAAACACTTCCTTAATTTGCTGAGAGTTTGTCACATCCATCTGAAATGTTTTCAGCCTATCGCTTGTCACCGATTTCAAACCCTTTTCACCATCGCTTGTAAGACAAGTCGCCAACACACGAACTCCCATCTCGTCCAAACGAATAGCTGTCGCGCGACCAAAACCAGAGTCGCAGCCCGTAATTAGAACGTATTTCCCTCGTATGTCAATACTCCGTTTTGGTAAGAGAGATTTTAAGAGACAGATTGTCAGCAGGCCAATAATCAACAACAGCAACCAAGATGAGACAGACAGAGAGCATGTGAGCTCCATCCTTGGGCGATCAAATCCGCTGCCAACGGGCCGAGCGTGGAGATGACGGAGACTGGTGTGTTGGCGGGAGTCGGGTGGGGGAGAGCGATCATTTTGAGAGCTGCCTTGGGTTTTGCCGTGGGCAAGGATTTGAGAGTGTCCCAGGGGTGGGGGTAAGGTACTCCCTATAATTGCCTATACCGGGAGGCTCAGCCCGTAAGGGATACTTTTATCGTGCTTAACGTTTATGAAAGGGTAGGGAAAACTGTCACTTCGGTCTGTAACTGAAGACCTAAAAGGACTACCAGAACGAAGGATCTTGTGGCTGTGAAAAAGTCAAGAAAGTTTCCTGGTTTTGTGATTTACACGTATCTTATAGACAGTGTATTTACAGCAGTCAAAAGGGATGCAAAGTTCTAAACTACGATTTGTATGTCAAAGGGGTACCATTTGTCAATGGCGGGTATATGAAAAGGGTACTGTACAGTACCGCAAATGATCCCCAACCGCAAATGATCCCGAGACCGCAAGTGATCACCAAAATGGACCGCAAATGATCCTCGACCGCAAGTGATCCCCAAAGTCGACTGCAAATGATCCCGAAAGGAAAACAGGAATGGCTTAGACTCGAGTTAGCGGATCATCGTGTCTATTTTATTATTATTACAAAAAGTAAGATTAAACGCTAAATTTCAGTTCTTAAATAAATACATGAATAAAAACTAAATGAAAAAAATCATTCAAGTGTAAAAACGAAGTCGGTAGGCAACACACGACTTTTACTTCATGCTAAAATGCTGCTTGTTCCAATGAATTTTTTCTCTGGCGGGTAGATTATACCTCTGAAGGATAACGTTTTGTCTGAGCAAATGTGATTTTTGCTACTTATTTCATACTGAGAGGTCATGACACGCATTTTCTGCGGTTATTGTAGTTTCTGGTCGGCATGATTTGGCCTTTAATGCAAGAGCATT